GTGGATCTCTGTGAGTTTGAGGCCAGCCTGGTCTACAGAGCGAGTCCAGGACAGCCAGGAGTACACAGAGAAACCCTGTCTCAAAAGACAAAAAAGGGGGGTGGTGGGACAAGAAATCATATCAAAGACTGAAAAGAGAAAGGAAATCCTTACAATTATTTATACATCTCCATAAGCAAGGAATATTGGAAATAGTCACCTGCTGGAGTTAATCTCGAGGGACAAAGGTCAGATTGCAAGTGGTAAAATGGTGGGGAAAAAAATGAGAGGTAGAGGTTAGAGAGATGATTGGGCAGTTAAGAACACGATGCTCTTAGATGGTTCATTTCTCAGCACCCATATCAGGTGGGTCACAAGTGCCAATTCTAGGGATCTGATGCCCTCTTCTTGCTGGAGGTACCAGTCATGCACGAGGTATACAGGCAAACATACACGTAGAATTTTTAAAAAAAAATAATGTGAAGTAAAGTCAGAAGTGAGAATCACAGCTGACACACATGTAATTGGAAGAGAAGAGGGAATTCACAAGAACACTAAAATCATCCTATCAAATGTTTCAAAAATATTTTAAAGTTTTTAAAAAGGAGATTTAACAAATAAATGTTTGATCACACTAAAAACAAATAATAACAGAGTACCTTTTTAATCCCTTATTTACTTATACCAGACCAATTTCAGTTAAAATTCCCATAGAATTTACTTTTGAATTTAGAGAATTATTTTAAAGAACACATGAACGAAATGATCAATAGTATGAAAAGAAAATTCTGGGAAAAAAAAGTGTGGTGGTTTGAAAGAAAATGGCCCCCCAAAGGAGTGGCACTATTAAGAGGTATGGCCTTGTGGGAGGAAGTGTGTCACTTTGGGGCTGGGCTTTAAGGTCTCTTTTGCTCAAGCTTCCCTCATTGTGACAGTCAGTCTACTTCCTGTTGCCTCTGAGTCAAGATGTAGGTTCTCAGCTCTGCCTGAACACCACCATGCTCCCTGCCATGATGATATGGACTGAACTTCTGAAACAAAAGCCAGACACCCTCAATTAAGTGATTTTATGTATAAGAGTGTCTGTTGTCATGGTATCTCTTCACAGCAATTAAAAACAACCCTAAATAAGACAAAAAGGAAAGAAGTCCTTAGACACATTTTAGACTTTTCTTCCATGAAAATCTTAGTGATAGCCAGGCGGTGGTGGTGCACGCCTTTAGTCCCAGCACTTGGGAGGCAGAGGCAGGCGGATCTCTGTGAGTCTACAGAGTGAGTTCCAGGGCAGTGTCCAAAGCCACAGAGAAACCCTGTCTCGAAAAACCAAAAAAAAAAAAAAAAAAAAAAGAGAGAGAGAAAAACATCTTCGTGATAGAACCTAACCAGGATGACTTGTAAAGTTGTTTATCACTATGGAAAATGTCAAGAGAAAATGAAGTGTAGCTATGACTGACACTAAAAAAACTAGTAATTTAAGCACTGAAAAATTATTTAATCAAAATTATGGTCTTGACAGATTATCAGGGTAGAGAATGAATGTGTGTGAGTGTGTGTGTGTGTGTGTGTGTGTGTGTGTGTGTGTGTGTGCATATGTGTGCATATGTGTGCACCTTACCACTTAATACACTTACTAACTGAATCTTGTGTATCATGCATTTTTTTTTTTTTTGTTTTTTAGAACGGGGTTTCTTTTGT